GGAATCCGTAGGCTACCTTAGTGCACTCGGTAGCAGCTTTAGGATTCCAGGGCAGCCGTCCATCGGATGTACTGCGTAATGTGCCCTCTCCGTCTCTAGGGCCCGGTTCCCCACGGATTAGGCCAAGAGACCCAAAATCCTTCAGTTAGCTAAGCCTTGAAAAAGACCATTGCGGCTACTTCTAGGAATCCCGGCGCAAGCCATCGTGCATCTAGTTATACTAGGGCAGCCAGGCTCATCCACGTCTGGATATTCGGAGTGTAAAGTTTATCCTCCCGTCTTGGAGAGCTGACCCATATGGGTGTCGGAGAATTGGTTTACCCTCTCGCACTAGAGAGCATGGTTGGTCCCTCGGGGGGCGCAATTCCTGCGATGAGTCCCTAAGAAGGGCGCAGTCTTCTTTTGAAGTGCAGGAGTGATTAGTTGTTGTAAGCATGCAGCCAAGCCAAGTTGTGATTACTTCTAAATTCCTCATTGAAAAACGAGTGAAACGAACGAGAACTTTAGCTGTAAGGTAGGAACTGCATAACAACTGGATAGTCCTCAGCTTGTGAGGTGGTGCCCGTCGAGCTTATTGAGTCTTCGGGTTTTGATGTAGCGGGAGGTCACACATGGTACTTCTTCAGATTGTAGGCCATCCATTTCTTTTCAATCTTTTTGCCGCTTCATGGTGGTGAGGGTGTAATTACTCTTGCCCCCTACTCTGCTGATCTTGTACGGACCTTCCCATATGGGATCCATCTTTTTGGAGCCTTCTTTGCCGGCAGTGATGAAGGCTTTTCTGCGTCGTCGACATGCAAATGCCAGAAGTCTCCATCGGGTGGAGTAGGCGCAGCTAGAGTGTGCTCGGCTACTTCTGAGGCATCGTTGGGGGCCGCTCTGTTGCGTCACCTAGGCTCGGCGTGAAGACGCAGTAGGGAGCTGTGGAGATGGGGCCATGTCATACGCAACAGGAGATGCTCAACTACCGGTATTGGGCCACTCTAGAGTTGAATCATTGAGCAAGGGTCGGCTAGGGCCGTGTGATGCGCAGCAAGAAATGGTACTCAACTGCCGGTACATGTTGCTCCTATGTAGAATCTTTTAGGGTGACGAGGACAAAACTTGCTTTCGAGTGTGTCCTTCCAGTGTTGCGTTCGTCAGAAAACTTTACATCCGCCAGGGTCTACGCCTTTATCGTCGCGCGTCTGGATTGGGCAGAATAGTACGTCATTAGGATGATTGCATGCGTTTGAAAGTAAAACTTGTGCTTCTGGGTTGCAACAACTATCACCAAAGTTAGCTTTTGAATTTTTAATAACATCGATGAAAGCTTTTGAACTGTAGAATACAGGTAACTGTGGAATACAGGTAGTCGGGCCCCCATCTCTTTTCGCATGATGGTAGAGCTTATTGCTACTTTAGATACCGTCAAACATGTGAATAAGTCTTCCGCTGCTTCTAGGGAGGTGATGTCGGGTACTTCTTCAAGTCCTTGAATGTGCATTGGCGAGCCTCATCCCAAAGTGCATACTTCTCTGCCAAAGTAAAAGAGTCTGCCAGAGTTAGATCTTCTTTCATGATCAATTTTCCTAATAGCGGGTGGTCTGCTGGAAGTCCTTTTTGGAAGGCTGCTCTAGCTATCGAGTCGTTGCATCCGACTATTTTTGCCTTCTCTACTTTGAACCTCCTCACATAGTCGCGAAGTGACTCCTTTGGGTTCTTCTTGACGTTGAACAAATGATCAGATTCTTTTTTATCGAGCGATAGGATGAATATTCTTTGGTGAAAACCAAAGAAAGTTCGTAGAAATTCCGGATGGATTGTGGCGGCAGGGTGTAGAACCAATCTTGCGCCTCGCCTTGTAGAGTGGTGGCGAATATCTTGCACATAAGCTCATCGTTGTTTCGATAAAGGATCATTGCGCTTCGGTAGCGCTTTAAGTGTCTCTCCGGGTCTTCATCCCCTTTGAAAGATGTGAAATGTGGCATGCTGAACTCTCGTGGAGGCTCTACCTGCTCGATCTCGTCCGTGAAGGGTGACCTGCTTATGTTGGTCATGTTCCGTCGTAGTGCCTCGTCGGTGACCTCGTTACGTTGGAAATCAAGCAATCGCTTGGTCAATAGTCTCTCTACTTCTTCCTGAATTTGCCTTTGTTGGGGTAGCGGAGCTCTCGGCTGCCCCCAGCCATGACTTGCTGGTCTAGGCTGCTCTTCCATGTGTTTGGCTCGTCTACGCTGCAGATGCAGTGCATGTGGTGCATTCCTAGCAGGCGAGCGAGTTCTTCGCAGGCTGCTGGTTGAACTTGAGCTGGATTGAGTGACTGCTTCTCTCCGTCCGTCGTGCTGCCTACTCTGATGTGAGGTGGATGATGCTTCTTGTGGGCTTAGCCGCGAATGAACACTTTGTCCGGAAGGTTGCTCATGTTGACTATCGGAGTGTGACCCCAACCGTGAATGTATGCTCATCCGTGGGCCTAGTCGAGAGTACACGCTCCTCCGCGCGCTAAGACGGGAGTATACGCTATCTCGGGGGCCCAATCGGGAATGTACACTGCCTGAACGTTTGGCTCGTGGCTGGTCGAATGGCTGCTTGCCGGGACGCTGCTGGAAAGGTTCGTCTGCCCTTGTCCTACTTCGGGATACCTCGTCCGGGGCACGTTGGATCCCGATGCGTTGCAAAAGTTGATTCACCAAAGTTGTCTGTTGTGCAAGGGCGCTCGTCAACTCTATGACTTGTCGAGACAAGTGTTGTTCGCCATTTGGATTGGAAGAGCTTGGAAGGAATGCGCCTCATTGGGCAGTGGAAATGTGGTAGACTCCGGGCGCGAGATTTGAATTGGGAAATGTCAAATCCGCGAAAAAATATGGTGAGAATGCCCCCGGCTCGATGGTAGGTCCGGATGGTTGAGATAGTCTTGGGCCGACTTGGGCTGCTTGGAAAGCCACGGGAGCAGGCTGGGCCGTGAGAGTAGGCTGCTCGAAAGAAGCAGGCTGGACCACGGGAGTGGGTTGCTCGTCGGGAGCAGGCTGGGTCACGAGAGCAGGCTGCTTGGCAGGAGCAGGCTGGGCCACGGGAGTGGGCTGCTTGGCAGGAGCAGGCTGGGCCACCGGAGTGGGCTGCTCGACGAAAGCAGGCTGGGCCACCGGAGTGGGTTGCTCGTCGGGAGCAGGCTGGGTCACGAGAGCAGGCTGCTTGGCAGGAGCAGGTTGGGCCGTGAGAGTGGGTTGCTCGTCGGGAGCAGGCTGGGTCACGAGAGCAGGCTGCTTGGCAGGAGCAGGCTGGGCCATGGGAGTGGGCTGCTTGGCAGGAACCGGCTGGGCCACCGGAGTGGGCTGCTCGACGAAAGCAGGCTGGGCCACGGGAGTGGGCTGCTCGTCGGGAGCAGGCTGGGTCACGAGAGCAGGCTGCTCGGCAGGAGTAGGTTAGGCCGTGAGAGTGGGTTGCTTGACGGGAGCAGGCTGGATCACGGAAGCAGGCTGCTCAATGCGCGGTGCATGTGAATGCGAGGCTTGGGCTTGGGTCCATGTAAACTTGGATGGCACGGCTTGGATCGTGGTCTTGGTACCGTGAGCCTTGGATGGCACGGCTCGGGCCGTGGTGAAGGCTCCATGGACCTCGCCACGAGTGGCTACCGAAGTAGCCACCGCGGTGGTTCCCATGGTGGCCGTGGTGAAGGCACCATGGACCTCGCCGTGGGTGGCTACCGAGGTAGCCACCGCGGTGGTTCCCATGGTGGAAACTCGTGGTGGTGATGCCGCTCCCCTTATTGTTGCATTTTGCCTCACGGATCTCCGGGCCGTGGTGAAGGCTCCATGGACCTCGCCACGAGTGGCTACCGAAGTAGCCACGAGTGGCTACCGAAGTAGCCACGAATGGCTACCGAAGTAGCCACCGCGGTGGTTCCCATGGTGGCCGTGGTAAAGGCACCATGGACCTCGCCGCGGGTGGCTACCGAGGTAGCCACCACGGTGGTTCCCATGGTGGAAGCTCGTGATGATGATGCCGCTCCCCTTATTGTCGCATTTAGCCTCACGGATCTCCGCAATCCCATTTCTTGAACATTAGAATTTTCACTTGTGGAATTTTCTAAATTTCTAGCCATTATATTTTGCTTATACGTTTTATCAAAGAACCTTTGCAAGTAAAAAATTCTAATAATAAGAACGTATGAAAAATATTCAAATGGACTAGAAAATAAAGAAAAAAAAACCTTTTTGTGCGAGAGTCTTCTACGAGTATGGATTTCAACTCTCAATGAAAGCACCAATTTGTGGATGCAAATTTCTTCCTCCTCGATCTTGGACGATTTTGCACCTACAAAACAATTAACACCTTAGGTTAAGGCCAAGAGCCTCACGCGCCCACGATGAATGGGGGGGGGCTTTGGCCGAAGAACCTCCGATGCCAAAGTTAGAATTTAGAGAGAAAGAGTGTTTAGAGAATTTTGAGATTTTTGCCAAAGTGTTGGAATTAGCTTTTTGGTGAGAATGAGAGTATATTTATAGGGATAGGAGGTGGCTAGGGTTTTTAGGTTTAATTTAGGTTTAATTAGCCAATTTATTTGGCTATTAAACATAAGATGAATGTTTTGGTGGTTTTTGAATTTATTGGGTAATAAAAAGGAAGAAATGGTGAAAAGGGTAGAAAAAAGTGATGGATTAGGTTTTGAAATGGGGATAGCCGGCCATGTGGTGTTTTAGGGTTGAATTGGATGTATTTTGTAGTTATTTGGATATAATAGATGGTTTAATTGACAATTAATGGGTTAATTAGGCAATAAACCCATTAATTAGCCAATTAACATAATTTAAAAGGAATGTGTTTGGGAATTACCTTGTAGAAAGGATTTGATGAGATGGACTTTGAATTGTTACCTATTTTGGGCACTTCTGTCTTGGTTGAAAGAGGGTTGCCCGCTGCTTGCGCGTAGGAACCTCGTTGTACTGCAAGGGTATTTTTGTCATTTTTGTCCAAAAATCCACGTGTCGCCCTGTGAATATTTTTGGCTCCACAGCAAGCATCTTCGATATGTGAGGGTGGTGCGGGCAAGCCACACTACGGTTTCTAGCCTATTGTACCATATTACACTGGAGGCCTAAAATTTACCATGCAGTTGTTTGGTTGCAAATATTAAAGAACTTCATGGAGTTGCTTGTGTGGAACCCTGTTAACGATCGCTTGTCGGTTCTTGGTGTTAAGTGTGGTGAGTACATTCAAGTCCAATGATTTCTAACACATATTCTCTTTTAGTTTTGGGTACTAGAGTTGTACTTCAAGTTTATCCTTTGTCTTTCACCTGATTTAGGATTTTTGAGCTTTACTCAACTTTTCGTATACTGCATTTGCATGTTTTCCCAGAAACTTAGGAAAAGAAAACAATCTAAGTTTTGATTTCAATCGCTATGAACAAAAGAGGGAAGCGATGAAAAGAAATCAACTTGATCAAATTCTCAATTGGCCGTTGTAGGTAATGTGATAAGTACGTAGTCAAAAGATTGGGTCACTTCTACCCCATTTTGCTCTGTCAACTGTCTAATTACTTGTTTGAGCCAGCCATTGAACGAAGTAAGCGTGCATCCATACTTGAAAATGTCAATGTCTCTGTTAATCCTCTATGACTATGTTCCCCAATGCCCTTTCTGAAATAGGACACCTGAACATTTTTTACATTGTATTATCATTTGTATACAATTACAGTAGTGAGAGTTTCGTTCTGTTTGTGCTTCAAAAGTATATTGGATGAGTGTAGCATTGTTCAGGTACCTCCGGCGGACAGATTATTTTGCATACGCTGAGAAGCAAACAGACATTAACCTGACAGTGCTCGAATTGAAACTCCATAAGCCATGACACCTATTACTGTTAGGTAATGAAACTAATCAATTTGACTCAAGCCCTTAAGCTTTGGGATCTATGCTTGTATACTTAGGATCACATAAAAAGCTTAGTGCTGCAGGTTAATTGCGATCTTTGACTTATATTCTGGACCATAAGAAATTGAGAGGGTTCGTTGTGCAACAGGCCGGCAATAGATCTCTTTGGTCTTTACTTTATCCCTCAATTTCAAGATTTTACTCCTGATGGTTTATATATGTTCTTCTTTGTGAAATTGGTTTTGGATTGACAGAGACTTTGTGAACGTTTTATTTGTTTAATGCAGGTGATTTGAAATTGCATGAAGCTGTTATGTTTGACATGAATCATGTAAAACGAGATAGCTTCCTAATCAGAGCACCTATAGGTGTTTGGTTCACATGTCCACATACAATACAATGCTCAAAAAATTCTTATCAGTTTAATTCTTATCCGATCACATTCCATATTTTCCAGTACTCTTTGGAAGCAAGATAATTAAAATTCTCAAAACATTGCATACTTCCTAGTCCACTCCTTGGCCGTTTCGACAAACTTCTTTTTGTCTTTCCGGAAGAGCAGGCAGGGTGGATTGAGGGGATCCACTGGGTTTGGATCATCGAGAAGTGAGCATATGGAGAGCAGGAGGCTCTCAATGTTCTGCACTGGATTCCATTTATCCTCTTCTAAAATGTCGACGTAAATAGTCCCGTCCTCGCCGTTAATATTTGGATGATAAACCTGCAAAGAACAAGTTCTGTATGTAAATCATATGAACTCAGCATATATAGGATTACATAGAAACAGGAAAGATTTGGTTTAAAGAGGGAATTACAGGAAAGGTTGTGTTCTTCAAGCGTTGAGGTGTTGATATGTTTCCATAACAAAGAAAAAAAAAGTAAAACCCGTCCAAATAATAATACAGTATTGGAGTAAATCTTGTATTTAGTTTGCTAAGAGGTTGAAATACAAGAATTTGGACATGCACAAGTAATAATGACTATTTAAAAGGACCAGCTGGTGGCTTGGCCAAGGCAGTACACATACGTAACTATAAGCTTAATGAGAGCTGCTTGTTTAGCATGTGCATAAGGGATTTAGATCATAAGAGTTTATATTTGACAATAATTGTAGGTTATTAAGGAATGTATAAAGACTAAAGTATAAGCTTAAAGAAGTCCCGGTGCTATTGGTGTTAACCATTTTGATATGGATGCGTTGGATTTTAGCGATAAGGATTATCAAAACTAATGAATTTGATAAGGATTACATGATGGGAAGTATCCTTATCAAAGACCAATGTTTATATTATAAATAAAGGGTCCTTGCTCTCTCACAAATACACACAAACAGAAAGATCAAGCCCCATCGACTGATAGTGCATACAAACTGTGTTGAGAGGAGAAGAACCTAAGATTTCTGCAACAATGGCTTCGCAAGGTTAGTGGTTAAACTAATATGTTGAGCTATTCATTTCCACTATATATTTAAACTTCTATTTGGTATCAGAGCCTTTCACATATGTCTTTAACCGTATGTCGAAAGCATGAGGAACAAAAATTTTATGCAGATTACAGACTGGCTATGGATTAACAAGAATGGTTTGGTGTGTATGAATTAAAGCTTTTCACACACTGAAATCGTGCCTTAATCCTGCCGTCAAAACTTGCATTTAATATTGATAACTGATTGATGATTATCTAAAGAAATTGTTCCTCACGTTCTGATGGCATAAAATTCATACATTTTGCTTGAATAACAACCATGTTATCTAAATCACAAAGACTTGTTAATATGGCTACAGAATATTCAACTTTGATTATGAAAGTGTTATGATTAAAGTTCATCGTTCACAGCCTTCTTCAATCTAAAGAGTTGAAGGCTGACATATTGTATGGTTTTTGGGTATAAAGATTAATCACGCATGTTATGTGATTCAGTGATGAACTCTAGCTCCATGAATCTCAACACGGTGAATCCACTACTGGAATGAACTACAAAAAGTGGAAGCAAGACTTGGAGATTGTGTTGGACTTGAGAACACATTCTTCAAGTCTTGCTTCCACTTTTTGTAGTTCATTCCAGTAAGTGGTTCCACCGTGTTGAGACTCATGGAGCTAGGGATCACCAAATCACATAACATGTGATTAATTTTTATACCCAAAAACCAATATGTCATAGCCTTCAACTCTTTGGATTGAAGAAGGATGTGAACGATGAACTTTAATCATAGTACTTTCATAATCAATGTTGAACGATGAACTTTAATCATAATACTTTCATATCAAGGTTGTTATTCAAGCAAAATGTCTGAATAAATATTATGCCATTTAATAGTAACCACATTGATTAGAGAAAATGCATTTTCCGTACGTATGTGAATTCAAACTCATGTTTAAACTTAATTAAGATAGAATATCGCTTGTATCAAAACACTTACTACACCTGACCCATAAAACACCTAATAAGGAGAACAAAGAGTCTAATTTTCTCATTGGTGATGTTTTTCATTACTCATAAACAACTAGATGACCATGTTTAATTTCAGTTAATCACATGCATCTTCCAAGTTAAACAAATTTACAACTTTAATTTTAAGGAACAAGGGATAGTTGAATTACACAATGGGTTGCTGGTGTTGAACTGGTCATTCATGAGAGTCGAATCTAAGATCATTCACTTTTAAGTGAAAAACATCACTAAACACTACAGTAATATTTAGTGACACCTACAACTTTAATTAATTGATTTGGAAACTAGACAGATAAGATGTGTATACGTACCTTGGTTAGGAATTTGATGGTGGGAGGTTTGTTAGGATATTGTGGTGGCAAATCAATGGAGAGAAAGAAGACACCTTGCTCATAAGGAGAATCTGGTGGCCCCATGATCATACCTTGCCATTTGTAAGGGTCATCTTCATTCACTGGTCCATAACTGCAGTGACTCGGGAAGTCTACTTTCCTCAACCCTTCTCTTTCGTACATCCAGTGCTTTTTAGGTTTCCTGTCTTCTAAAACAATTTGTACTACTTTAATCAATCAATTAATCATAGCCTCATAGAAACGCTAAATTTTTGGAGCAACCGATTGTATATCTCCTCTTTCAATATCTCATATCAAGAGACGGTTATTTTTCTCACTTACATGATGTAAAAAATAGAAAGACATGATATACAACTAGTTACACGATATAATTCTTCATAGAAACTACAAAATATGCAAATCATAAGAGAAGGTATGTTTGAGAAAACAGAAAAAGGAAGAGGATAAGATATATACCGAAAGACCAGTCTGCCATGTTTGAAGATCAACAGCGCCAGGGAAGGAGAATCTGAGGAATTATGTTGAAGCTTTGAGAAGGAATGGAGAATCAGAAAGTAGCGAACATTTATAGAATAAAGGAATTTTTATATGTTTATTTATTTATAATTATATACTTTTTCCTACGTTCACAGAAAAGGGGTAGTCTTTTCTTGTAAATTAACTTCAACCGCGTCAAGTTCTTTCTCAATCCATACTGGAACTAACGATGTAATGCAAGAGAAATGTTTGCGCAATTTCCTTCTCTATTTCCGTAGGAAGGAAGAGTATGGACCCACTTTTGATTTATTTTTTGCTAATAAAGAATGATAGAGCAAGAAAAATAAAATCTTAATTTATTCACCAAAAAAAATAATCTACATACTTTACTCACGCAACACATTGATAGGGGTTTTTTTTGTTTTTTTGTTTTTGTTGACAAATGAAATGTTCTACACTAACTTCATCTAAATACCGGAAGAGAGATTTAAACTTATGTGTAATGTGTGAAAACACACTGTTCTAACTAACTTGACTAAACTCAAATCTGCGATATAAAAGAGACTAAACTCAACATAATAATCAGACGCATACCATGGTCCGCCAAATCTTCACTCTCTAGCTCTTGTCACTACTTCAACTACTGTGCGTATGGAAGAATAGCTAAAAGGTTCTGCTCTTGGTCTCAAATCGAGGCGGCACAGTAATCAATTGTATCGTAATTGTTTGTACTGGAAGACGATTTGCCGGACCTAGGAGTTCTGATAAAAACTTGCAAAATAGAAACAAGATCCGACGAGGTAATGAGCTCTGGTGTGATGTTAACAAAAAATAATGTAATGTAATGATCCGAACCGTCAATTAAAGTGTCTCTGCAGAGATCATCCATGAAAAAGTGTAGCCAAGTCGAAAATGGGTTACCCCACATTGGGATTGAAGTGGCCCAAGTACTGAACATCCTTCTATTAGGTCATCTCTAATTGAAAGGTCCAGAGGACCAAAAATAGCCCGAAAATCGATTCCAACGGAGGATCAGGCTAAAGGGCTCGTGGATCCTACTGGACAAAAAAAGTCCAACCAGCTGTCCATCTTCAGCCAGCTAGCCAGTTTTTTTTTTTTTTTTTTGTTCTTTTTCATTTGCCCAACCCTTTTTGTTTTTTGTTTTTTTTGTTCTTTTCCATTTGCTCATCCCACTTTAGGGTGCAAGGCTTAGGTTTATTTTTTTTTTGTCCCAGCCCATTTTTTGTTTTTTATGCCCAACCTACTTTTTTTTTTTTATTTCTAATTTCTTCCTACACCATTTTTCACATATTTTTCACCATTCCATACTATCTTACCTCATTTTATTTCAATGGTTCACAATCTATACTATAACACTTTGGCCCTCGGTTGGAGACGGTTTTTTGTGACAAGGCTAAAACAAGCCCTATGGCCCTCGGTTGGAGACGGTTTTTTGTGACAGGGCTAAAACAAACCCTATGGCCCTCGGTTGGAGATGATAAGAAATATGGCCCTACACTGTTCATTAAAATATTAATTTATTAGAAAACCAGATGGCTAAAACGAGTCCTCTAGCTAGCCTTCAGTTGGAGATGACCTTACAGTTTCCTCTAACCTTAGGTGAGGGCCCATCAAGCCCCTTCCACAATTCTAATTTTGGCAACAATACTATTAAAAAACATAATTACTTCTCTTTCCATTTTGTTTGTAATCCGGACTAATAAGTAGTAGTTCGACTTTTTATTTACTATATTGACAAATAAGAAGAAAAATAGTATTTTTACAATTTAATTGTGACTGTTTATTTTTCGTACTACTAAATAATATGATCTATTGAATAAACAATTATTCTTTGTAATATTGTTGACCCTGAAAACTACCAAGCCTATGTGGCGCGTAGGCCGAGTAATCTATGAGCTAACTACGTCCTTTGGGTTGAATGCGGGGCGTGCCAACTTGTCGGCCGAGCTCGGCCGATGAGTAAAATATGTTAATGTTGCGTTGGGTGCACGGCTGACTTCTACGTCTTGTGATTGCGGCCGAAGAAGGATCACGTCTCAGCCTCTTGGGTTCTCAAACCTGAAGACAAGGCTACTATTCTTACGAAGTTCACAAATTGTCGTCATCGGATTCGGTCACTGTGATGATATTCGTCAGAGTAAACTCACGCCGAATCGACACCAAAGTGTAAGGGCATAAATACTCAAAGCGGATATAAGTCTTAATAGTAAATGTGGTTCGGCCGTCGAAGTGCCGAACTCTAAATCCCACTTGAGAGTATCCAATCATAAAATAACTCGGCGTGCTATGTGCCGAGCCCAATAAATTGTAACACCTCACTTCGCCGAGAAGGCTGATGAGATGACCTCGACCAACAAGGATTCGGAAATCCTTCTCGATCGAGACTTGGATAGATAACCAGTCGCCCTCGACGCAGTGCTGTTTATGCCGACTGAAGATGCTGCGAGATCGGCTTGTTCTACGGCGACAGTGTTGTTTATTCCAACTGAAGATATCACCGATTGCCTTCACAGTGTTGTTTATCCAAACTGAAGGTGTGTCGGCGAAAAGAGAAAAGAAAAATCTCAAGTTTGTTGAGAGAATTTGCATAGGGCAGTTGTGTGTTGAATTGGATAGGGCTTATTTTGATGTCTCCCCTTCCTATTTATAGCAGCCAACCTGTATTGAATCCCATTCACTCCCGGATTAGAACTCCTTCTCATAATCCAACTTTATCTCGACCAATCCTATTCCTACTAGGATTTTGAACACCACTCATTATCAAACTGTGTTCAATCTCAGCATCCTAATCCCGTCGAGACTCCCTCTTATAACAGGATTCGTCAACATTCCACTTTCCGATAGGATATGGCCCACTTCGACCGTGCAGCCCATAGGCTGAATATCTTTTAATGACACCTGTTTACAACTTCTAGGCCGAGGATGAATCTATACTTGGCATATCCCACACTGGGCCGAAAAAGATCTAACTCGGCCCAAAACAATATTTTTTGGGCCTAAACATTGCCCCATCACTTCTGAGGTCGTCGATCCATACTCCTTAGTTCGAGCTTCAACCTTGAAGATGTGAAATCAACTATCGGGAACTACCACCATGCGTACTTATGAGATGTGATCCCACAATCTCGATTTTCAAACTGTCCTGCCGCGTGTCAACCCCCTGGTTACCCTAGCAGTCTTTAATCATGATCCTTGAAACCATGCGACCGCCGAAACGTCTTTCTTGCATTAAAACCGCCGTAACACGCCATCGTGCGTCCTTAATCTGTGAAAATCTCGATCTTCTCGCCTTGATTTTATGATCATGTACAATGATTAGTATATCTCCCGCTTGATTTTACCCTTGATTTTGAAAACCAACCGTTTAGCCTTCCGTTCCCAAATGCTTATAAATACCTGGATTTCTTCCATTCATACCTTACGCTCTCTCAAGCCTTTGAAATTTTCTTGTCGTTCTATTTTTTTTAGAACCTTAAAAAACCCAGGGATTCCGACATTTTCCTCTTAGAAATTTCTAACCATTCTTCAATGGCCTCATTTGTCTCACAACTTTGTTCTGAGTGCGACAAGTGCAAGGATTTCATCGATCAACATGCTATCAAGACTCTGCGTTTCGAAGGCGAATCAAACACTACTTACCAAGTTCTGGGCCCATTCTTCAAGGATACGGTGCCGTCATCCATCACCGACCTGTTAAAAAAATACTGTTTGGTAGATTTGCTGCAAGGATTTGATTGGTCGAAATGGTGCCAAACAAAACCCTAAGGATCCTGGCCTTCACCTAATGCAAACTGGGTGGCATGGGTCGTTCGAATGGAAAGGTTTTTCGGCAAAGAGTGGAAAACTCTTGGTATTTACGACGCTATCAAGTTCTCGACTATGGAGATTACAATGGATAAAGAGCTCCTCATGGCAGCTCTTAGCCTCTGGTGCTTGGCCACCAACACCTTGGTCATTCCATATGGTCCTATGACTCCTACCATCCTCGACATCTTGGCTATCATTGGGACTTTTCCTTCCGGCATCCCGGTCGACGCTACCTTTATTGGATGCCCCTCTAACCTTGACCTCAAGGCGTTGTTCGACGATCGAGCCGTCGAGACGTTGAGCCAGGAAGGTCAAGAGCCTTCAAAAGTCGATGTTTAGAAATTGCACAAGAATTTTCTGAACTACAACACCCTTATCCTTCATTTTGCTGGTCGAGAATAGACGAACCTTCGGAAGGGGGAACATGAGGCCTTCCTGTTCTACTGGTATAACAAATTCATTTGTTGAACCAAGTCAAATAAATGCTTGGTCGAGAACATGCTGGTAGCGGAAGCCCTGGCTAGTGGCCATTCTCTAGCACTCAGCCCCGCCATCATCGCCAACCTTATTCGTTGCTTGGCCGAGACGACCCTCAACAAGATCGACCCGCACCAGAATAAACCCCTATGGGTGTTCCAACTCTGGCTGTAGGTTTATTTCTCCACGCTTCAGCCAGAAGTTTCCGACCTCCAGTCTACTGTAGTGCTCGACCTTCAATTGGCCTCTCGACCAGTGCCCCCTCACCGAGCCGAAAAAGTCTTCAAACATCTCTTCGGCCTGAATGTCATTTCTGATGGCGAATTTTTGATATTTCGTCGTCAAGAATATCCTTGCTCCACTAGGCTTCTCACATCGACTTGGAGTGACAGTGGAATGCCGCTTTTCGTAAATACTGGGGGTCATTCGTGTTAACTCGCAACCTTCCCCTTGGTTGTGATGCTCATCGGGCGAGTTGGGAAGTCTATCACCCCCACTTTGCCACCCGGCAGCTCGGTTACCTCTAAGGTTGCCCATTGCCCTTACTTTCTTCTCGCTCCCTTCTGACCCGATGGCGTGTCTCTGGTTGTTTAGAAAGGTAGTGTAGAGATGCTGAGAAAGAATTTTAGGAACAATGTAGGAAATTTGGTCTTCGACCAAATTCTCCTAAATTTCTCGGCACTGATATCTTCGGCGACTGGTGGGAGGAATATACGCACGGCTTTTTTGGCACTTTGGTCGAGGAAGTAGTTAACAAAATTTTTGGTGACCAGCCTAAGAAACCATCCGCCCTTCAATCTAAAGAGGCGCCCCAAGGGATACCCTTGTTTC